GGTTGAGTCAAAATTTTTATCTATGATGGAAGGTTTCATTTATAAGTACAGACCTTTATGTAATTCATTTGTAACCTATTTTGTTAATGAATATTCCAATAGACCTCAAGGCTGGGCATTATGCTACAAAAATTTTTCTCATGGCTGCACTGATACTAATATGTATTGTGAGTCATTTCATAACAAAATTAAGACATTTTATCTGGAAAGAAGACAAAACAAGAGAGTTGATGAGCTTCTGAAAATTGTTCTTGAATCGGAGGTCGATCGATACTTGGAGCACCTTGAAATGAGGTTGGAGGAACGTGGTACATCTACTGTTCCAATATCTCATCAAAGAAGGCACTCCAGAGGATTGCAAATTTCAGATGAAGATGTTGCAAAGTCTATTGATTCAGAAAATGACTCAGAATTTTGGATTGTCAAGTCCCAATCCAAAGATTCGGAAATGGAAGAATATTATATTACTATGCATTTGAAGGAATGTAATCGTGACTTCTGTTTTGAGAAATGTGAACAAAATACTTGTTTTGGACTTTGTAGTCATTTGTATACTTGCACATGTCCTGATGCATCTGCGATTTGCAAGCACATCCACAAAGTTCATTCATTCCGTGTGAGAATGAGGGACTTTAGGGATATGGAACTCAGAGCAAGTCCAGCAGATTTCACTGGTCAGCTCCATCATCCAGTTCAAGATGATGAAGCTCCAAACTCAGATGAGGAAGGTGATTCTGCTACAACTGATGTTGAAAAGTGGAGAGCCAAATGTGTAAATTATGTTGAAGAACTGAAACGCAATATTAGTGCTTCTCAGCATTTACCAATGCTTCAATTTATGGCTAATCAATTACAAATCTGTTTAGGTCATTGCAGTGTTTTTGAAAACAGTGCTCATGCTGGTCAATTGGACAAACTTGTTCCTACTATGTCTGTTTCAGGTACACAGAAAGTTGTACCTTACAAGGATCTTCCAAAGTTTTATAGAACTACCAAAAAATATCAGAGCTCTAAAGAAAACAAGTTATGCAAACCAAGCTATGATGAGAGGAATGAGCGGAAGAGAGACCTGATCTCAGATGCAGATGATGTTAATGCTGAGCGTTTAAGAAATATTGTGCCTGCAGATACTGAACTCCCTTGTGAAGCTACTGAAAAGTCTCCCCTGCAAGCTCTTGTGCCTTGTCAAAATCAAATTGGAAATATTCGTTTCAAACCAAGACTCTCATTGTCTTCAGCCTCGAAGACTTTAAGACTAAAATCTTTCACTCCTAAACTTGGCTTCTGCAACAATATAAATCAGTCTGTTCTATTTTTAAATGGTGCTGATGGCAATCTTTTAACAGTAACTTTCCGTGGTTTAAAATCAATTGACCCCTTTTTAACATCAGCAGAATCCAGTAGTCTCAGTATCACAAGTATCACTGGAACAATGCCCTCACCCTTCCAGAAAGGTTGGTTGTTTGAAGAGGTCATCAATTTCTATCTTCACTTTGTTTGAGGGCAAAACCCAGTTTGCCATTATCTTAGTTCTTCATTTGCTGAGGCTGTATTTTCTGATAAAAATGTTTCTAAATTTTTAAAATTTAATATAAATATGTTCAGTGCCATTTGTATTCCTTTCATGTCAAACAGAAGTTGGTCATTAATTGTTTGCCGACCACAGTTAAAGAAATTTGAGTTGTATGACCCTTCTGGTACTTCATACTCATCCTCTCATCTTAGCTTTCTGGAAAAAATTTGCAAAGCTTCAATAATTTTGTGTAAAGACATTAATAATTGGAGCTTAACCTGCTGTCCACGTGCTCCTCAGATTGATTCAGCAAGTTCTGGGGTTTATGTGTGCTTCTATGCGTATTGCATTAGTGGAAACAAAAGTCCAAGTGATCCTATTCAGGATGTATCTGAATTTAGAAAATTAATTTATAATTCTATTGTAGGAAATTGCTTCAAAACTGATGTATATTGTTGTGATTCATGTGTATATTGTAAAGTAAAAATAGTTAAAGATGACCATATTAAATGTTCAAATTGCCATCAGTTGTACCACCCAGCCTGTGTTGTGCAGAAACATTCTGATATTAACTTGTCTGCACCTTGTAAATGCCTGTGATAAAAATAGCGAGTTGAAGACAACATTAGATATATATGTATGTATATAAGTGAGAACATTGTAAATCTGAAATATGTCAAATATGTACATTTTTCTACAATGTGTGTTGTTTATTGAATTCACTATTTGTAGAAGTCAGTAATGTGAAATGAATGTTGAATAAATTTTAAAGCAGGCACTAACAGTTGACTTCGTCTTTTAATTTGAATTTTTCCTGAACCTTAGTATAGAAAAAAAATGTATTGAGCCTCAGTTAATATGGTGGAAACTTTTTTCCGTTCATTTTTCTATTTAGAAGTTAAGAGAATAATTTTCAACTTCACTACCACATTTATATTTGTCATTATTTTGTGAAGAAAATCTTTAGATAGGTTATGACATCACAGTACTTTTTTCACCTCAATGTCAACAAAATATAGTTGATGGATGATAATTTGAAC